TATACTATTATGATTTATTAAAGTTGATTAGTACCTTAAAATATAACAGAAAATTTTAAAAAAATTAATTTGCTATAATTATTAAAACATTGAATACAGATAATACCATAGGATAATACCAATGATACTCTATGGGTCTATGAATGAAACAATGAAACTGTTTTTATTGTTAAAAAAACCATAATGAACTTTAACCTAAATTTTTCTACCATCATTTTAAATTCTTTAGTTTAGTTTTTAAAAGATATATTGAAATGATTTCTGATGATTTTGATGGCGATATTGGAGATTCGGAATTTATTAAAAGTATTTTCGAACATAAATGTGAATTAACCCAAAACATTAATTCCTCTAAGGACAATTATGTTTTGCATATTGCACCCAAAGGGTAAATTATTATTCGATAGTTTCCTTTTTTACAGCATTTCTGAAAATAATACATGATAATCGTATTCGTTTTAGAGGAAGGAATAACGGAAACATAGCAGTAGCATATTCTAAAGGTTATATAGATATATTTAAGCTTTCAAATGAAGTTATCAAAAATACTGATACATTAATAGTTCCAGAAAATATAATAGACATTGATTTTTCAAAAGAAAATAAAGATCTACTATTTATTGCTAAAATGAATGGTAAAATTGATGTTTATGATTTAAGATGCAATATCACTGTACAACAATTCTCTGGTACCCATAGCAGAACAATAATAGAGACAATAATATTTAATACTTATGTTTTTTGTAGATACGACATCAAATACGAATAATTTTCGTAACTTAACGTGTCTTGCCTTATCTCCATCTAGTACACTTATTTCTGCAGGCACCGAACTTTATGAAGGTGATGCTTTTATATTATTCTGGGATTCACGTAAAACAACGTTTTTGGGAGGATACTGGCAATCTCACAAAGATGATATAACGCAAGTAATATATTTTTTATTTGTAACCTTTTTTATAATTTCATGTACTATTGAATTATTCTTTCGCTCAGGTTAAATTTCATTCAAATGATCCCAATAAGTTGGCATCAGGTAGTACAGATGGATTAATTAATATTTATGATATTTCACATTCCAATGAAGATGAAGCCTTAATTGATACTTTTAATACTGAATCGTCGGTGGAAAGTATTATGTGGTGTAAGGAGAAAAATAAAGATCACATTTGTTGTGCAACTCATACATGTGAAATACAACTGTGGTCTACTAATACTGGAAACTTAACAAAGTCCTTTAGCAGAAAAAAACTATCACTATCTATTCAAGTATGAAAATGAAGGTGGAATGAAATAATTTACTTGCTATTCTGTTTTTAGAGAAAATCTGAAGCTCACTGTTATGTGGCATCTGTTTATAGAAATTTTCTTGATCAAGTTTTTATATTAGTAGGTTCTAATTTTGAAAAAGACAAGTGCATGAGAACCCTAAAAGTTAGTGGTAATGAACTTGAGCCTATATATCTTTTACCTAAAAATGAACAGATTATCAGATGTTCGTGGAATGATGCTAAGGTATATCCATGTAATAATATTAAAGTTACAAGCAATTGACTTAATTATTAAAACATTGAATACAGATAATACCATAGGATAATACCAATGATACTCTATGGGTCTATGAATGAAACAATGAAACTGTTTTTATTGTTAAAAAAACCATAATGAACTTTAACCTAAATTTTTCTACCATCATTTTAAATTCTTTAGTTTAGTTTTTAAAAGATATATTGAAATGATTTCTGATGATTTTGATGGCGATATTGGAGATTCGGAATTTATTAAAAGTATTTTCGAACATAAATGTGAATTAACCCAAAACATTAATTCCTCTAAGGACAATTATGTTTTGCATATTGCACCCAAAGGGTAAATTATTATTCGATAGTTTCCTTTTTTACAGCATTTCTGAAAATAATACATGATAATCGTATTCGTTTTAGAGGAAGGAATAACGGAAACATAGCAGTAGCATATTCTAAAGGTTATATAGATATATTTAAGCTTTCAAATGAAGTTATCAAAAATACTGATACATTAATAGTTCCAGAAAATATAATAGACATTGATTTTTCAAAAGAAAATAAAGATCTACTATTTATTGCTAAAATGAATGGTAAAATTGATGTTTATGATTTAAGATGNGGACGAAGTTATTTACGACGTTAATAATTACAACCCTAGAATTTACGATGCTTGTTTGCTTTTCGGAGATGTTTCAGGTGGCGCTTTTATTAAATTAACGTACTCTTTCAAAATATTAGTTATACCTAATATTTTTTAAAAGGTTTTACGAATCTCTGTGAACAGTATACGAGAAGAGCTACTGGTGGTGCATCCAAGTTGACGGTTGTTCTGAACAATTTTCTTGGTGGTTTAATCACTGAGGTGTTATCTCACAATGGAGACATCCTCAAATTTTCGGGAGATGCTTTCTTGTCAATGTTTAAAAGTTCATCGATGGAATCTTTAAGAGATGCTGTTCATTTAGCGATAGATGCTGCTGTTTCTATACAAAACACTTGTGGGACATACGTGACTGATACGGGATTACAGTTAAAAGGTAAAATAGAATATGTACGTCCAATAAATTCTCGACAATATTAATGTGTTGTTGTAGTTAAATTGGCCATTTCCTGTGGCCAAGTGGTTTTTTCATTAATAGGTAATGAAAAATATACACATTACATATGTACCGGGCAACCGATTTTTGATGTGAAAAAGGCGGAGAAAAAGGCCAAGGCAGGAGAAATAATAATAAATTACAGTGCTTGGGGCTATATTGGGGCAAACGAATATACTTTCGAACCACTCAATGATGATGTGCATATTAGGGTAAGTTAGTTACACATTTACAATCTGTTTACTTTTAATTTTTTGAAATTAAAGTTTTATTAAACTTTTTGTTAGGTTGTCAATTATGGAATAAACTGGAGAGCTGTGGGTGAAATGGAAAGAAGAATGACTGCTCACTATATAAGTATTTATATGTTTGATCAGTTATTAATATGAAAAAAAGAAATTATAACATTCCGTCAAGTTATTTTGCAAAAAAAAGTAAATTTACTGTTTTATACTGGGAAGTTGAATGTGTGGACCTCAAAGGTCGCAGTTTTTTTTTCACTATGACTCATTATATCGTACATGTATTTGCAAATATGTAAATCAAAATTAAAGGTCTGGAATCTAACTTAAACATGTAATTTAAGGAAAAATGGTATACGACACAACGAAGAATAAAGTTATTGCGTTTGCCACGGAAGAAGAACAGGAATACGTACACGATGAACCGTCTGTAGAAGATTTTGCTGGTAAATGTGACAATTTAATTTAAAAACTCCATAAATTTGCGCTTTTGATGTGCAACATCTTTCTACTTGTTTTCAAAATATGTAATGTAGATGAGAAACCATGAAAGTAAGTGGGAGTGTATCGGAAATGCATTAGAGGGAGGTAGAGGGATGCGCGTATGTGCTATGCAATCAATGCTGCCTGTATTTGACGCTTGAAAAGACAAAGAGAAAGACAATGACACAATGAAACTTAAATTTTTTTGTATTTTAGTAAGGCCATGTGTTAATGTGGCGGTAAAAAAGAATTTGAAAAATGATCTGAGAAAGTTTATTTTTGCCCCTGTAATAAGGGGCATTGACTCAGACGAACCTCTGGAATATTTAACCGAAATGAGACAAGTCGTTACAGTATTTATAAACGTTGTCGTCTACAAAATCGAAATACTTCACTACGTTAGAATTATCGACACAACATTTAAAACTGTGACCGGGTAAGGCAGATGTTACAGACATTTAAAGCAATGCACTTTCAACTTTTAAAATGATGTATTTATACAACCAACATCAAATTAGTAATGCCGTACGTACTTACATGCAGTTAACTTTATATTTTAGACTTGTGGAAGAGGGCAACGGCAGCGTGAATAAAATCTCCCTATTTGATAAAGATCTAATGATAATTGCTCTGTTCGGGCTTAGAGGTTTCAAAGATGAAAGCGAATGCCAAAACGGGCTTATATGTGCATACAAATGTCAGGAAGAAATATCAAAACTTGATTATGTTAAAATATGTTCGGTGGGTGTCACGACGGGTATGTATTAATTTAAAGCCACGTTAATATGATAAATTAGACGTATATTTAGATTTAATTTGTAAGGCATGGCATATTGCGGGGTGGTAGGGCACACTTTAAGACGAGAATACACAGTGATTGGTGTAAGTGTTAACAAAGCTGCTCGACTCATGATGGCATATCCTGGGAAGGTTGTGTGTGACCGAGAAACTTTTCTTCACAGTAAAATGGAAAATAGACACTTCATACTTCAGGAGCAGAGAAATTTAAAAGGAATTTCGCATGCAGGACCGGTCTACGAGTTCATTAAACATCCTGTGTAAGTATACTACAACATTACTATTGGCAATCTACAAATTATGAAATACATAACATAGCTGTATATGTATTTCTTAGGCCTTCGCCAGTAAGCGAAACATTGACTTCTTTACCAATGCTTGGCAGAAAAACGGAAATAAAACTCTATAAACATTTGTTGGAGACTTGCCTTGAAATAAGAAAAACTGAACTGAAATGTGGTAATTTGTATTTTAATCATCATTCCGTTATGATAGTAAAAGGAAAATCGAGACTTGGAAAAACTCGTTTATTGGATGAAATTATACGGTGCACACCTCCAGACGTCCCCGCTCATAAAATTTCCCTATCCTTTAAGGATAACAAGGTAAGAATCGTTTCGTAGCTTTTTCTGTTCCCAATACTAGAAAGATTATTTTTAGTTACAATTTAAAACAGTACAGTTAATATTCACATTTGCAATGGGCCTCGAAGAAACTAGCACAAAAAACGAAGTGAAACATAAGATCGTGTCTTATATGAAATCTTATAAAATACCGCAGATCCTTTGCTGTTTGAATAGCATTTTTAATATTGATATTGCTAAATCCGTTTACTATGTGTCCTTATCAAAAAAGGAAAAGGACATATTAACTAGAGATGCTTTCAGTCATCTTGCAGGCATAGTAAGTTGTATTTGTTGTGTAAATTGCAAATATAAAGTAGACATCCGTATATTTCTGTAATATGTAGGTATTACTGATTTACAGTGTTTCCGTAAAACGTATGTGATCGGTATTGACGATGGACAGTTTATTGACGATGACTCGTGGCTTCTTTTGAAACTGATGTTAGATTTGGAACTACTTTTTTTAGTCATTAATATCGGTCCGTATAGGTATTGCAGTCAATTTTTCAATACATTTGTAGAATGTAGAAAGGTTCGTGTGGTAGAGTTACAACAAATCGATAAATGGTATCATGCAGGTTTAGCGTGTCAGTTTTTAAACGTGCAAGCCATTCCACCAGAATTAGAAAAGTAAATACATCGTGTAACTATTTTAAATATTCGCCTTTATATTAAAGTTAGACACATTTTTTAAATAGATTGATCCAATTAAGAAGCGAAGGGAATCCCGGCTGGATAGAAAGTTTTCTCTTAACTCTTAAGCAAATTCATGGAATAGTTATCAAGCACGTCGACGAAAGCGTTTTCTCGGAATTGGGACTGGTGAAACCTCCCTCTTACATGTTGGGAAGGTATGTCTCGAAAAAGAAAAAGTATTGTTTATATAGGAAAGAATACTTGCGTTAAAAATTAATAATATATATTTTTTATTAGGATAGATTTAAAAGAAAGCTCTTCAGATTCCGACGAGGATAATTGGAGAATGTATAAACACTGCTTTTATGTAAATTATTAACTTATAAATTATATAAGGAAGGTAATTATTCAATTCTAGGAAAATGATCATGTTGAGAATAAGCAAGTTATTTCAGAAGGAAATGTCGTATTAAGTAATACAATGGCAATATGCCTCATGGCACCTGGCTGTAGTTTGGAAAATAACGATTTAGAATTATCAATGGACGGTGAGAATAAATTTTAGCGCGTTGGGTAGTTAAAAGTAGGTATTTTATTTTAGTTATGATTATGAAAACCTTCGATTCTCTTACATCCTACGAGCAACTTCTTCTGAAAATGAGCTCTGTAATAGGAAATCTATTTATGAGGGACATGCTCCTATATATTATGGGAACCGCTTCCAAGGAAAGGGANTTGTAATTTTTCATTTTTAGTCATAAGCTATGTCTACATTTTCTTTTCAATAATGATCCTTTTAAATTAAAATATTATGAATCATTTACTTTATCTTACTTTTTTCCCTACCTTACCAAGTATCATTAAGCAATATCTAAATTATCTCATTATTTGTTATTGGTGCTAATGTTATAGTTTTTTACATAACAAAAGGAACAAATTTTAACAAATCCTTATCGTGTTTCTACCCATGACGATTATATGACCGTCATCTTGTAAATCTTTTAGGGCATCTTCAAATTGTTCACGGATTATATTCTAAAATAGTTGTCGATATTTAGTTGAGTAATATTTCAAAATAGATAATAAATTCATACCAAGGAAGAATTTTCTCTTAATTCTTGGTACAGTTTTTGAAACTGAAGCACTGGTACTTTGCCTTTATTAGAATCGATCAGTTTCTTAACAGCTTCTGCCAATTCAATTCTTCGTTTACGTGCTGCACTACTTAAGCCAGTAGTTAAAATTCCAACATCTATTTTACCAGAAAGAGGATCTGTAGCTGATTGCTTTAGGGCTTCCCGATGAAGTCTGTAATGTCAAAACAAAATGTGAATTTCGTTTAGGTACTTGTAAAATTTAAATATTAGTCTCCTACCTGTAAGCTTCGTCGACATCTTCTACTGTGACAATATTTGAAAAACGCACTTTAGCATGAGCTTCTGATAATCGTATGAGAGATTCCAGTTGCCTTGGATAAGCAGAGATTTGGCCCCGTCCAGATCCTATTTTTCTCATATCTACATAGGCCTGTATCAGTTTTTGTTGGGCCTCTTCGCTTAGTTTTGGGTGTATGTTTTCTTTGGTGTACGCTATGTAATCTCTTAATATTGACATATCCTGAATAAAAAAAAATACGTGTAATCATACAACACGCTACTGAAGTGAAACTTCTTCAAACACACAAACATATCGGGATAGGGGTTAAGGAATTGGTTTAATGGTATTATTTGTACACTATGCTTCGAATGGGTGCAATGCTGATAGTAAATATACTATAGAATGTCTTTATTTACAACATTCATGCTTTTTTGTCATTAGACAATACAAACCGGCCCCCCGGCCGGTACCGCCGCAACCGCTATGTCCCTGCATTTTAAGTCTGTAATATCTTCGAAAATATTCATTTAAATTACATGCTGCAAAGGGTCATATTGATCTATATTAAATGCACAATGTATTTAAAAGTACTTAATTGGATAAGGATTAATGGTATATTGCTTAAAATCTCTTCGTAAATAAGCCATTATTTCTCATAGAAAGTAAAGGATAAAAAATTATTATTGTGGGTTATCCCTAAGAGATAGACATATACTATCGCGGACTTTTTTGTAGACCTTTTTAAGATGTACAATAGTGTAGTACATTATTTTTATCCATCTCGGAAGGTTCAGTCAGCGTTTTTGCAATGTAAGCGTAAAAAATGTGTTTATTTACGACATCACATTAGAAACCTTTAAAATAACTAGTGTTTCTCTACTATACACGAACTTACCCTACCGTGCGTAAAGAAGTTTCACTTCAAAAAAAAAAATACAACGTGTAATTATATAACAAGCTACTGAAGTGAAACTTCTTCAAACATACCGGGATAGGGGTTAAAGAATTGGCATCAGTGGCGTCGTTTCGGCTGTAGAGTGTAGGCACACATACACAAACACATACAAATACATTCATACATTTTGTTAGGGCTACACTTTACATGCAGGAGTTGCCTGTAATGAACGTTGCATTAAAGCGCGCTCACGGCTCAAGCGATCCCCACTACGAACTCTACTACGTGGCCGAGTAGAGGGGGGACATCCGTTGCATGATTTCGTTACATGGCAAGTCGCATGAGACGAACTTACCCTACCGTGCGTAAAGAAGTTTCACTTCAAAAATAACTTATTTCATCATTCTTGTTCTAAATGTACTTCTTACCAATACGTCATCGTCTTCTCCTGATTTTGATTTGTAATATAAAGATACTAAGTGACGAGCAAGTCTCCTATCAAACGCTTCATTCTGAGGGTCCAATATGAGGAATATCAGGTCGAAACTTAAATAGCAAAATTGTTATTTAAACCTTTTCGGTGAAAATTTTAACTCGAAATATTACCGGGACATTAATGTGTGAGGTAATTCAACATTTTCTATTATAGTTTTATTTTTGTTCCATTGTGATTCGGAGGGATTTGCAGCCGCCAATATCGATGTACGAGCATTTAACTGACAAATAATCCCTGCTTTTGCGATACTTAACGTTTGCTGTTCCATCACCTATGTATGTATATTAAAATACAAAAAACAGTAATTAATAAGATGTTATGTAAAATGTGCTTATGCTGGTTAAATAAATATAAATATTATAATACAAACACACACACACACAGTAGTTTATGTACCTAGTAATAATGAATAAAAATAAATAAATAAAATACCGCACTACCGACCTCATGTAATACACTTCTGGTTGAATCGTTCATTTTATCAAATTCGTCAATACAACAAATACCATTGTCTGCTAACACCAAAGCCCCAGTTTGTAATACTAACTGTCTGGTTTCGGTGTCTTTTGTAACATAAGCAGTAAGTCCCACCGCCGACGATCCTTTGCCAGATGTATACTGACTTCTTGGGACCAAATTGTAGACGTATTGCAACAGCTGGGATTTGGACGTGCCTTAAAATTAATGAACTTATTGATTGTGCTTTTGTATTTGTTATGCATTTCACAAACCTGGATCTCCACAGAGAAGAATGTTTATTTCCGATCTGAAATTTGTTCGGCCAGATGTAGCGAACTTTTTCTTTGTTCCACAAAACAATTGCAAGAGGATTCCTTTTTTTATATCGTCGTTTTCGTAAATTGAAGGCGCTATGGATCGTGCCAGACGTCGATAGACATCTGGTTTTTGAGACAACAATTGAAGAAGTTCAATCCTTTCTGGTGAAAACATATGATCTTTTCTGAAATTTCACGAACAATTTTTTTTAATTAACGTAAATAAATAAGAAAATGCTTTATAATGTTTCAAAAGTTTAATAGTAGGTACTCTGCAAAATTGTTTCGAATTGTTGTGTAGAGTTTTTTTATTTACACTTCACAAAAGGAGTTCATCGGTGAACACCAAACACAGTGAAATTTATTAAATTTTTTTTTCAACATTTTTGCCCAAAATTATAATTTAAATTTTACCCTTCTTCTTGTTCGTAAAGCCTTTTAGAATCAATTTTTCTGAAGTGCAAAACATCAACATGAGTCTTGTAAACGGCACGTAGGTTCCTCATTCGGGGATTAACTTGCAGAGCTTGAGCACGATATATTCCCGTTACAGTGACTCTATCGCCGGGAGAAACGCTGTCAACCAAATCGTTATGTGCAAAAAGAACAACAGTATGAGGTGTTTGACCTGCTGGCATGTCGTCTTAAAAAAAGCATATGTACTTCCACCTACTTTACAATAAATTAAATAATAATTAAGCATTACATGATATTTACCTGGAGATTCCTGTAGTTTAATCATTTGTTTATCAGTAAATTGTGATCTGTTATGGATGAGGGTAAAACAGTGGTTGGTGTTGCAGTTACTGCAAAGAGTGGGTTCTGCTATACGTCCCCTATCTATCTCAACAGTAGTAGTAAAAGAACAAACTATGCATTTGAAAAACGCCTCACGCATTTCCGGAATTATATTCGAAGCTCTTATAACCATGCCGCTTATAGTTATCAATTGATCAATGTCTTGAAATGCAAAAAAAAAATTAAAACAAGATATTAAATATCTAATTTCTCACCTTCGGGATTTAAGGATCTCATGTTTCTCGTCTTTTTAGCATTATATGGTCGCACTTGTATCTGATGTTCCAAAACTGCTGCGGGGAAGCGTTCGTAAAACATTTCGTTTACGATCATGTCAAACACGGGAATAACTTCTTGCGGATAGGAAATCAATTGACGATAAAGATTGGCGTCAAAGGTTTCTATATGAAGGCAGTTTACATTTAAAAATGGTTCTTCTAAAGTGTGTATCTGCAATATGTACATTTTTATAAGATATTGAAATTATTTTTATCACTTTAGGTTCATTACTTCCTCAAGTTTTTGCAAATACAAAGGTTCATTTAAATTCGTTCTTTCCGACACTTCATCTTCTTCCGCTGTTAGATCGATGTATCGTAAAATGAACTGTTTAAATCGATCCTTGCAGTGGGCAACTGATACATCTGTTCCCCAAATAATTAAATGAGGAGCAGGACTATCTGTTGATTCCTGACTTTCAGGAATGCCATCTAACTATAATACATGTATAACAATTTCCTTAATAATATTATTTTATCTTTACAGTATTATATCAGATCTCATTTTATGTTTTCATGTAGAGCCGAGTAATGGATTATAAAAACAAATTAAATTTTCCTTTTTCTTGTTTTCAATAAAGAACAATAATTATGGTTAAATGGAAAATTCTGATTATCAAATATCAATTATAATTAAATTACAAGTTTGCATATTAATACAAAATAAAGGTAAATAACATATATGTTATTACAGAATGATAATAACATTATAATTATTTTATAATGAACATAAATAACTCAATTTCCACCACTTAATTTTTAATCTTGACAATGTTTTACCCTACAAGGGTATTTTCAGAAGAAGTAATTATATCAACATCATCATCAATGCTTCTTCTAAAAATGCCCATGTAGAATGAACAACTGTTAAAAATTAAAAATGAAATAGTAGAAGTTGTACTGTATTTACTTATTGTCATAATGCATTCCAATTTTCATTACATCTCCAAAAACAATTATAATTTGATAAACTTACCCCTTCTGAACCAACGTTAACCTGTCTTATTCTCTTATCTGTTCTAATATCAGATCTCATTCTAATAGGGGTACCTCTTATACCTGACCTTGGTCCTACAGATCCCAATGAACTAGGTGTACCATAATTTAAAGGTGAACTTAAGTCAATATTCTTAATTGGAAAACCTAGTAACATGTTAAGTAATATGCATAAGTAAGATTTTTATCTATTTAATTTAGTTACCTGCTGCAGGACTAGTGGGAACAATACTTGGAATAGGAGAGGTTGCATTAGTATTTACTACATTTTCGTTTTCAGGTCTTCCCCAACGCATAGGGGTTGTAACAAAATCAGACGAAGGAGATTCTTGATCTCGTCTAGACAGTGTTTGAGATACATTTTCCTGATTAGGAGTTGCTGGAGCTCTTGGTGAAGACATTTATATAAAACTTAGTTTTCACTTCACTAATAAATGTAGTCGGACCTATATCTAGATTAACTACTTTATTTTTATAAACAATGAATATTTTTGAGTTATTTCTGTATAAAAGTAATTACAATGATTTTATAAACAGAATACTTCCACCCTCGAAGAAGAAATTGTGAGGTTATCTAATTAGATGAATTGGTTCATAGAACTGTGGTTTAAAATAAAAACCCGCCAACATGAATGCACAGATGTGCATAGAAATATAGAGTGCTTTCCAACAAGCGTATGTTAATGTAACACAAATTGCTCAGTTCAAGAGCAAAGTCGGTTTGTGTAATGATTTTAAAACTTCAAAATTATATTTATCAAAGAACGTTTGAGTCTACAGTGGAAGTGGCTTTGTGTGACTTTGTTTATGTTTCTCCCATTGCACAGAATAAATTAGAACTGAAGACCTACAATTTATTCTATTGAAAAATAATATACTATTATGATTTATTAAAGTTGATTAGTACCTTAAAATATAACAGAAAATTTTAAAAAAATTAATTTGCTATAATTATTAAAACATTGAATACAGATAATACCATAGGATAATACCAATGATACTCTATGGGTCTATGAATGAAACAATGAAACTGTTTTTATTGTTAAAAAAACCATAATGAACTTTAACCTAAATTTTTCTACCATCATTTTAAATTCTTTAGTTTAGTTTTTAAAAGATATATTGAAATGATTTCTGATGATTTTGATGGCGATATTGGAGATTCGGAATTTATTAAAAGTATTTTCGAACATAAATGTGAATTAACCCAAAACATTAATTCCTCTAAGGACAATTATGTTTTGCATATTGCACCCAAAGGGTAAATTATTATTCGATAGTTTCCTTTTTTACAGCATTTCTGAAAATAATACATGATAATCGTATTCGTTTTAGAGGAAGGAATAACGGAAACATAGCAGTAGCATATTCTAAAGGTTATATAGATATATTTAAGCTTTCAAATGAAGTTATCAAAAATACTGATACATTAATAGTTCCAGAAAATATAATAGACATTGATTTTTCAAAAGAAAATAAAGATCTACTATTTATTGCTAAAATGAATGGTAAAATTGATGTTTATGATTTAAGATGCAATATCACTGTACAACAATTCTCTGGTACCCATAGCAGAACAATAATAGAGACAATAATATTTAATACTTATGTTTTTTGTAGATACGACATCAAATACGAATAATTTTCGTAACTTAACGTGTCTTGCCTTATCTCCATCTAGTACACTTATTTCTGCAGGCACCGAACTTTATGAAGGTGATGCTTTTATATTATTCTGGGATTCACGTAAAACAACGTTTTTGGGAGGATACTGGCAATCTCACAAAGATGATATAACGCAAGTAATATATTTTTTATTTGTAACCTTTTTTATAATTTCATGTACTATTGAATTATTCTTTCGCTCAGGTTAAATTTCATTCAAATGATCCCAATAAGTTGGCATCAGGTAGTACAGATGGATTAATTAATATTTATGATATTTCACATTCCAATGAAGATGAAGCCTTAATTGATACTTTTAATACTGAATCGTCGGTGGAAAGTATTATGTGGTGTAAGGAGAAAAATAAAGATCACATTTGTTGTGCAACTCATACATGTGAAATACAACTGTGGTCTACTAATACTGGAAACTTAACAAAGTCCTTTAGCAGAAAAAAACTATCACTATCTATTCAAGTATGAAAATGAAGGTGGAATGAAATAATTTACTTGCTATTCTGTTTTTAGAGAAAATCTGAAGCTCACTGTTATGTGGCATCTGTTTATAGAAATTTTCTTGATCAAGTTTTTATATTAGTAGGTTCTAATTTTGAAAAAGACAAGTGCATGAGAACCCTAAAAGTTAGTGGTAATGAACTTGAGCCTATATATCTTTTACCTAAAAATGAACAGATTATCAGATGTTCGTGGAATGATGCTAAGGTATATCCATGTAATAATATTAAAGTTACAAGCAATTGACTTAATTATTAAAAAAGAAACAACTATAATTTTGTCATTATTATTACTAACATTAATTTTAGGGTAATTTATTAATCACAGGAGGAGAAAAGGGAATATTAAATGTATGGAAGATTTCATAATAATACATACTTAAATGTGCAACAAAAGTTAAAAATTACTAATGCTTATGATAATAAATAACAGATAAATGTAATACAACTTTAATGGCATTAGTTATCTGTTTTTTTGTTATTTAAAAATTTTAAATAAACCCCATTTTCAAAAGTTTACATGCTTTATTAAATCATACTATTTTCTGCAGGAAGATATTTGAGCGAATAGATTAACCATCGATTATTACTAAATTAATATATAATAATAAAAATCTGATTTGCCCTACATGTGTAATATGTAAGTTTGACAAGACAAACGGAACGTACAAAATAAAAGAATAATTGGCGAATAAGATGGCGGAGGTATTAAATGCAGAGGATATACCTCACCTCCTGACATCAATTATAAATTTCGTAAATATCAAAAATGTTTATTGTATGAATATCTTTATCGTTTAAATAATTTTAATATAAAA